TAACTTTTTTCTTTTTTTCAGTGGCCCTAATCCTCTTCCCTAGGATACAGATCCATAAAACCCCACAAATTAGTGGATAAATGTCTCTGAACAGTTTTACCTAGATCTCACAGATTTTCATTGGAATTGGTAAGCTTTTGGCCTTAATCTTGGGTGATATTTGTACATAAATTAGGTAGTTTCCTTGTTTTAGGTACAATATGGTCCACTAATGTTCAAGAGGGTTGAAGCCCAGCTTTGGTGAGACCATTCCAGGAGCTTAACACAAAAAAGGTTCAGTTCTGGTGTATTCCTCTGTAAATCTTTACAAAGATTTTTCCTTTTTTATGTAAAACTTAGTCACCAATGCAAAGTTGAAGAGCTTTAGCATACCTTACCTGTAGGAAATTTCTGCTTTAAGGATCAGTAATTAATGAATAAATAAATTATTAATAGCGGAAATTAATATAACATTCTCGCTGTTGGTGAGTTGGTGCAAACTTTTGACCAAAAGTGTAATTATATGAATGTAATCCTGCTGAGCCTGTCAGACCGATCTCTGTGACATAACTACTGATCAGCTCATGTATGCAGTCCTGTGTTAGTGATGAACAGATCTAAGTTGCATGTCCTTTCTCTGTGACAAATGCTTAGTATGAAATGTTTTATCTAAACCTTGCAGAAACCAACACCTGCCGGAGATGTCAAAATGAAGCAGGTATTCAATTTTATTTTTCAAGAATACCGTCCTTTTTTTTTTTTTTTAAGATGATCTGTGTTTGGGTTCTGTTTGTCTTGGCCATTTCTTGGCCAACACATTCCTTCAGCTTTTCCTGATCCTCCATCTGTCATTGATTTGTGTTTTATCTTTTTTTTTTTTTTTGTTTGTTTGAGAATCTTTTAATTTAATTTGTAAAAAATCCACCTGCCTTTGATCTTTTTGTCTGCATGTCACTGATGCGCTTTAAAGAAAAAAATTTTTTGGCTTCCCATATCTGGGAGTGTGTTATTCAGAGATCTAAGATCTCTTTGTTTTTAGAAGAGACATTCTGCATCAGTTTGGTTTCTTTCTGACTTATCACACCATACAGAACATACAGACTCTGCTCAAAGATAATAAACAGGGTTCTAACACTGACGGGAAAAGTCTGGAATTTAATCGTTTTCCAGTACAATGGAAGTATGGGAGGGGAAAAACAGTGTATGGGGAAAAAAAAGTTGTGTTTCCAGGCTTTCTTCTCTTTCCTTCCGTCTATCATTTCTTCCTCTCTTTCTTTGTTGTATATTTTCTTCTTTTTTATTATTTCATTCAGATTGTCAAAAGAATGCCAACATAACCCGAAACCCTGATGGCCCAAAACTAGGGCTGTGTTTAAAAAAAAAAGGATTTATTCTCATATTATTTCCTAAATATGGATTCCTATAACCAATGATCAATAAAAAAAACAAAAACAACTTTGTCATGCTTTTCCTACTGTCCTAACTAGGACGGAGTGTTAAAGGCCAGGCTGGAGATTTTTTTTCTCTTCTATTACGAGAATAACGTCGTAACATTACGAGAATAACATCATAACATTAAAATAATAAAGTCGTAACATTACGAGAATAAAGTCGTAACATTACCTGAATAACGTCGTAACATTATGAGAATAAAGTCGTAACATTACGAGAATAAAGTCGTAACATTACGTGAATAAAGTCGTAACATTACGAGAATAATGTCGTAATATTATGAGAATAACATCGTAACATTACAAGAATAAAGTCGTAACATTACGAGAAAAAAGTCACAACGAGAATAGTCATAAAATTACGAGAATAAAGTCG